GTAGTTCTTCCCTATTAAAGTGGGAGAGAAATGAAAAGTGAAAGAGGCAGAAAACCAAAAGGTTCTTGAAATTTTCCTTTTAAAAATGTGAGCCAAACAAAGTCTTGGTCTGATCTTTTATCAAAAAATATTTTAAAATTTTCAACAAGTGTGAATTGGAATGATACTACTGAGATTGAATGGCACAGCTGAATTATCTTTTACTAGGATTTCGATTAAGAGTTCAAAGAATACATTACAAAAGTAAATTTTAAAAGAAAATAGTAAAATAGCCTGTAGGCAACAAAGGCACAATTGTCACAACAGCACACCTGCTGTTGGTTTTAGAATAGTCTAGAGTGATCATATTACAATATCACCACCTATGCCTTGAGGCATCCTTCCAAAATAGTTTGTGGATGTTATAAACCTATGCCATTCTTCAGCGAGTAGCATGTGTTTAATTCCATGGGTGTTGACATCTATTAACAAAATTTAGCATCTAGTGCATTTAGCATCTAGTCTATTTAGACACATTCTTCAAATTCACAATTTACATTTAGCTTTGGATTGAAAGCTTGAACAGTACCTCTTTTCTGGCTTCGGGCTCTGTCTTTGAGACTGTGAATGCCGGCTGCCTCTTAACATTCCTCTATTTAGATGGCTGTCATTGCGGCCTCCTGAGGAAACTGAAGCCCGAAGGCCTGCCCGTAATTGATCTCCATTTCTGTGAAGTGGCACAGATGTACGGATAGCAGACACAACATGGCCAGAGTAAGATGTCAATGGGTCTTCACGATGGCGGGAATACTGGTGGGCAACAGATCTTTCTGAGGCTGGGTACTGTTGCCCTGGCCTGTGATAGCTCCTTTCATGGTAATAGGCTGGAAGGCAGGGTCGTGTTTGCTCCATTACCCCTCCATTGCAACTTCTAGAGCAGGCTGACCAGGGGCCCCAACTGCCCCATATGCCTGGGATTCCTACACCATTGTCTTCAGAGGCACCTCCTTGCTCTTCTATCCTCTGGGGAACCTAAGGACGCAAGAAGATTTAATTAAGGCAATTGCACTACCGATTCTAATAGAAAAAAAGCTCTATTTTTCTTTAAAAGCCACTCTCTCCAGAATCATGGAAGGGAAAAACTGAGCTAACTAGGAATGGATTTAGTTGCCTTGATCAGTTCTTATGCTTCACCCTGCTAGCACAGGAGGCAGCATCCCTTAATTAATTTCTCCTAGAACCATCAAACCTTCAGACCAAAAGTTGTTTTTGGACTTTCTGGACAGGGCTGGATGTCTCTTTGGCTTCCACAATGGAAAATGCTGCTCAATTCAAAGTTCAGAAATGTGAAGATGGAAACTTTCTATTTTTTCCTACACATCAATAGCAAAATCAGAAAGAAAGGAATTTTTTTTTGAAAACCCTTAAGTTACCTACCACAAGATGATTTCAAAAGAAAATGTAAAAGACCAGTGTTACTCTAACTTTGTCGCAAACAACAAAAATGTAAGACAGGGCTGTCCAAGTAGCAGCTCACAGGCCACATCCAATCCTGAGAAATTAACCTGGGGATTCCAGGTTTCCAGTCCAGGTGCTGCTCCCCACATTGCTCACCTGCTGCTGTCACCAGAGTCTCTGGGTTCCCCCTCCTTCCTGATTCTGCTGCTTGCCGCTGGCCTTGGGACAGGGTGGGACAAAGTGACCCCAGGAGCTGAGGTAACCCACAGCTAAAAGGGAACCTGCATGGTGTGGAGACACTGGTGCAGCAGGGGGCCCCCAGTGTGGTACAGTGCAGGTGGGGTGCCATGAGGTGCCAGCATGATTAAGGGTGAGAGGGAGGGAGGGAGTACCCATGTTTGGGGGGCCTGGCATGGCAGGTGACCTACAGCCACCATGCACTTAGAAGTTGGAAAGCACCAAGTTAAAAAATGTTGATCCATCTCTCATCCTATAGCTGTACAAGGGTGATCTCAAGTGGTGAACTCAGGATGCAAAACTGACTTTTCAAAGCACTCCTGTAGTTAACCCTAAGTAAACTTTTGCTGTAAAATATTTATCAATTAGCCCTTTTCCAATTGTGCAGAGGGGCAACTTCTCCACATATCTCATAGTTGTTTTTTCTTTGTTGTATTCTAATAGCACCCACAGTTTACTAGAGGCTGGACACGAAGAGTGAAGTGTAGTCCCTGCCCTAGAGAGAAAGCCATCTAGAAGGCAAAAACCAGAGGAGAGTAGGGAGATTGGAAGAAAATCCACATATTCTTGACTATGTTTTACAAACTTTATGTGAACTTGTTTTAGCCTATGGATTTCTCACTACAGGCAGGGTTTCTATTAGGGCTGTGCGAAGCTTCGGTCACTGATTCGAGTCAGAGGATTCAGCCCAATTCAACAGCTGAATCTCCAAATTCAAATCAAATCAGGAGACCCAGTAATCTCTCTGAATTGAATCAGAAGCCTCCGATTCGGTTCAGAGAGATTAAACTATTTGTCCATAGATACAGCTTTATATGGTTTTTCTACATACCTCCAGGTACCAGGTATGGCTCATGAACACCGAGATGGGGCAGATGGAGTGTCCCAAGGGAGCATGGGGGGCGGGGACACTCCCCCACACACGCAGTGGCAGATCCAGAAGTGGACCAGAAGTACTTCCAGCCCACTTCTGGGTCCACCGCTGAGCATGAGGGGGACCCAACTGAATCAGTGACTGGTCCCTCCTGGGTCTGGGGGGGCACCCAAGGTCCCCCATGGCCAATTGCCAAGCTGAGCGGTGCAAGGGGGTCCCCCATAAGCTCAGCAGCGGACCTGGAAGTGGACCAAAAGTACTTCCACACTTCCATGGGATGCTCCATCCGCCCCACCATCTCAGTGTTCACAAGCCACACCTGGTACCTCGAGGTACGTAGAAAAAAACATATCAAGCTGTATGTATGACCGACTCGATGATTCTCCGAATCAGAACTGAATCTTCAGATTCAGATTCGGCCAGATCAAGTCAGGACTGTGATTCAAATCTGGCTGAATCCGAATCATACTGCCCACTTCAATCACTCCTAGTTTCTATTACTGTTTCAGCTAAGTAAAAGGCTGGGTACTGCTGCACTGCCTCAAGAGCAGACCAGAAACTGGATGATATATCTGCTTCCCCACTGATCCAGGGTGAGGGAAATAGACTATTGTAGTTTTGTGTGAAACAGCTTGCTTCCTTCAGCTACAGCCTACTCTCCAGTCAAAGATCATGACTAAACTGAAAACTACCTAAGCCAGTCACAGGACATTACAAAGCAACGAGCTATAAACATGGGAGGTTTTAGTGGAATGTGGTTTGTGAATATGGCCTGAATACACTATTACAATATACAAACCCTTGCCAGGCTAGGGTTTGTGGTGAGCTATGTAATAGTCAGTTGTGGTCTACATAATCTGAAACATTTCTCCTCTCTGAGGCTGCTCTCACTCTTTCATCACTAACCACATAAAACACAGCATTTAATTATAACTAGCAAATAATAAAAAGCATCTGTATTAATATGATGTGTTCTCCATTTCTGCAATGTTACATAGAAAACAGGAGCAGATGGCTCTTAGTTTAATACTTTCTTTTTCTGTGGGTAACCCATTTGGCATCGACCTTTTAAATTCAATTGCCTGTACAACCCAATAACTACATAATGTCAGAATTATGAACAATACGTAACAAGGTATTGGTTTCTGGCTGTTACATTTGCATTCATTTCCAATAACAAACAGCACTGGCTCACAATGTGGCCAAATAAATGAGCTATTTCTCAATTTGCAGTTTCTTCACTGAACAGTCATATAAACTCTACATTAACACAGCCCTGAAGTAAATATAAAACTACAGGATGTTTGATTAGGAGAGTGGCCCATCATCTTTCTTTTGACCTGACCCCAGAGAAATGTGTGTGTCATAAAAGTCCAGAGATAAATAAAGTTTCATTAGTCTGGTTTATTTAGTAGTCGTTTTTTATGGTGAATCACTAAACCTTTTTAGAAAGCCACGGGCATTCATCCAGGCAATTTAGAATCCATCAGTTTGCAAACAGTTTAAGCCACCACTAAAAATGAGGCATTTCATTGCATAGAAAGAGAAACAGGTATGAAAGTGACAAGCACTGACCTGCTACAGAGACCTTCCTGGCTGTTAGTCCTCAATACAGCAGGTGTCTTTCAGCTAAAACAATGCTTTAAATGACTAAAGGCAGAGGGAAAATAATTCTGTACACCTTAATCTCAGCAACAACACTGAATACATTAACCTAGGTATTTAAAATCAGAAACTAACAAAACTAACAATAAAAGCATAATGTCAAATACTTTGGTTTAGGTTTGTTACTGGGACTTCTACACAAATCTGGGGATTCTCTGAAAAGGGCAATTTTCAACAGCAGATATTTGAAAAAGAGCTGTGTAAATTCTGGGTCATATCTTCACAACTATTAAAGTAAACTTTACAATTACCTTAGGAGGTAAGAGAGTAGTTAGAAGCCCTATTTTTCACAGTGGGGGAAATGAAATGTTTCCATTTGCTCAAAACCACAAATAAACTGGTATCTGCCTCAACCTACATGAAGTCAGTGGTTTCTGACTCCCAATCTTTCACTCCTTTCCCTCTAAGAATTCTATTGTCCCTTGTGTAACACACAATTCCTGGGAGAAGAGCCTGACCCTACTTCAGGGGTTGTGCAAAATACATGGTGAATGTAAAATAAAATTCCCCACTAATCTAAATGGCTGCAGCAATCTTGGCTTTTAACCTGACAATATACTAAATGAAGATATCAGTTAAGCCTCTTCCTACAAAGTAGGATTGCTTCTGCTTGTTCATTAACTTGTATTACCCAGTCCAGTTATAAATGTACCAACCAAAAAGTTTTTCATCCATTCCCCCAGTAGACTATTTCACCTTTAGAGCTTTAAGCACCTCTAGAGCTTTCAAGTTGTGACAAGTGGTTCCTTTATCTCTACTCTTTCTTCATTCAAAATCATAATGACTTTTTTGATTTTGACAAATTGGAAGGAATTTTGAGAAATATCATTCTGATAATATAGTGAACAAATCTGTGAATAGGGAGCAGCTACCAGGATCACTTCTTGTCCCTTGCTTAAAAGTCTCTCATCTCCTTGTACTTCTATGGTTGTCCATTACTTACACAAAATAGTTTCTCAGTGATATGATTAAATTCATTTACCAACAACTAGGGATACAGATAGCCCCACTAAATATTTTTCTCCTTCCTTGAAGTGGCACTTCGGGGCAAAGTTCTAAGCTTCCAGAATACAGTAATGGGACTTTCTTAACCCTTGATAACCAGCCCATGTTTCGGCCTTGAGTCAGAGAGATTGATCAGGTGGCCCAAGGTCCCACTGAGCTCTGCTTCCTATGACTTGGGGTCTTATGCTTTTGTAACAGATGGATATTCCATGTCTTGACCTGTTATACTTTTCTGAGAGCTATCCTTTTCCCTTCTCTAGTTCACTGGCACAAGACTGCTATAAGAGGCCACCTAAAGCTGCTCCATTCATTCACCTTCATATAACAGGGAACCACAGGAGAACAGACACAATATAAAGGATGAGAAGCAAATAATTATTTCCTTATATTATTCCTTAAAATTAGCCTTGATGACACTTGTTAGCTGAGTTCAGGAAGTCCTATGCATCCCTATTTTGCTATGATTTTACACGACAGTCTAAAAACTGCAGCCAATTCCAGATTTGATGCTGAACCAAGGGAGGAGTTGGATACAATTTGTAAACAGGAACTGCATGAACTCACATCAGTTGTTTTTATTTTACTGTTGTTATTTTTCATCCAGTTGAAACCCCTACATAAAGTTAAAAAGTATAGAAGGCTTCCTGGGATTTAGAGCTCTCTCTGGGAAAAGTTTTTCTAAAATATGCACCACAGAGAATGCATAATGAAGCTGCACACTATAACAGGTTTACATCAGAACACATGATTTGAAGAACTCATTTGTGATTTGTTCGCCTCTCAAGACAAAATG